AGAGGCTGAAAAGTGGAACCGCGTGATCTGAAAGAAACGGTTGCAGTGACCTGATGAATAACGACATGAAGCTGTTGCGGTTTTTCTGCAAACAACGGATCTTTTCGAGCATCGAATAGTGCATCAGAATACCTGGTATAGGGAAGCTTGTGTACAGAAGTCAATAGTGAAAGAAATGCGTACCTTTGATTCACTCAATGCCTGGCATAATACCTCATCATGCTCCTCAGATCCAATGACGAACTCCAGCTCTGACTAAAAAATAAGATAAAGAAAAATAGTGAGGATTTCCATCATACCGATTCCAGTAAATCCACCTCCTGAAACCCCGTTCCTTGACAGCTATCGACAGTCATGATCTTTGCAGTTTCGACTTGAGCATCTTTCGTCTTTGTGGGTCTGATGGCATTGAAGTGTTCACGCAGAGAAGACATTTCGTTCTCCTTATTCTTCAGTGATGTCGGTGCAAAGCAATTTGAAATTTAACAGTTATAATAATTACTTACTTACCGTCAATATTTCCTTGAGTTGGTCGATTTGAGTGTGTAAAATCCGTAACTGCGCTTCATGCTGATTATTTGCTGCTTTGAGGATATTGTTCTGTTCATTCAATAAGGAGTTCAGTCGCTTAACATTGCCATTTTCTTCAGCCTCAATTGAAACACCTCAAAGTTACTGCAGAGGAAAGCAATAGGTAATATCAGTGAATATGGGAGACATAGATATACACTGAGCTGCCGTGAAAATTGTCCATTCGTCACAGGTACTTGTACAAAAAATGCATTGTTTATCAGACATAAATGCTATGACAACATAGTAATTTACGAAATCGCAGTGCCGATTTCTGTAACATTCATTCTTACAATAAACCATTAGTAATCGGACGATGAACTTACTCATATTTCGTTCTGACTTTGGTCTTCCTTAGCACTGTTCATGTAAAATTACTGATTTTTGCTTGAATTTGAGACGCCACCCTTCATAACCATTTTTTACGTCTCAAAAGTTTTTTGTGTCTTCTCGCCTTATTTTCATATTTCCCTTCGAACGATTACGTCGAAAATTTACCTTTGCATTCTGATGCACTCATGGCTCTTCACTGCGAAACGCAGAGAAGACACAGTATTAAGGAAAGACCAGGATGAGACAGTTATGTAAACTTCCGGGTACTGCTTGGAAGTAAATGCGCTATGTCAGTACCTTGTCAGTACCTTGATGCGCTCACATTCATGTACTCTGTCGCGAAGTACCATCTATCGACTTGGAGCAGCAGCTGTCACGCGTATAAATTAAAAATACCGATCAAAGAAGTCCGAATGAAATCAGTGATCGGGAACGTCATTGGAGCCGGCTGATGGCTTTGGTTCTCAATGAATGGTCCACGTTGAATAGGATTTAAATTCGACAAGGCCTCTGAAGTTATTTACTCCAACGTTGGAAAGTGAGTCATAGTTGGCAAAGCAGTTTAGGTAATAAAAGCCCAGTCAAAGAGCATGTTAATTATGAACAGCCACTCCGGTAGTACTATGCCGGATGATGATTGCAGAACATATCACCGGCCTCTAGAAGAACATCTGATGACTCAGTAATCTGAAGATCTTCACTTAAAGTCGTTAGCCACTTCCAGCTAAATAGCCAGTGAAGAATACCGCTGTTAGCAGTATGGCATGTAGATTCTGCGTCTTTTCTGTGCTCACCCAGTTCTTTAACCACAGTGAAGATATGAATATGGATGCATTGGCAAAAAATTTCATTTTTTAAAGAAATACAGCATTTCGTATTCTTAACAACATGTGACCACTGTTACCCCCTTTTAGAAACACGTGATCAACGCAACTTTTACAAAACTCATGGGGTGTGTAAGGAAATCGGTTAAAGATGTCGAATCTATTATTCTAACAATAAAGTGTAACACTTAATCGCTTTACCATCAGGTCCATTTTTTCTTGAATCGTCATGATTTTCTTTTCTAACCCTTTATTCAAATTCTGCAAATGTCCAAACGACTTTGCCTCAAGCTGAAATCGATACAGTCAAATTTCACCTTGTCCTCATATTATATGAGGATATACCTTAAGTTCACGGAGCTTTCTTCGCGCCATCCAGGAGCGGACACAACACTGGATGATGATGGCAGCGGCCTTTAAGCGTAGGAACCGTCGTCGAGCAAGAAACGTACGTACATGCTTTTGAATGACCACAGCGCTGCGGTACTCCTTTTCCTAAATACCTCAAATAAGAGAAGCGGATGTGCCACAGCGTTGACAAAATACCTTGAGGAACTTTGCGCGTGCCAGTTTGACTCGAACGGACCTCTGCATGGCTAAGACGGCGCGTTTTAATTTCAAATACCTCATTCTGGCAACAAGGCCCTTCATGAAGCTTGTAATTATCAAAGCTGCCCGGTGCATTTGTATGTATCTTGACCACCTACATGCATGAAATTCATTATCCGTCGTAATCTGCAACAATGTTAGTTCAGAAGATGGAAATGAAGATTAAAATATGAAACAATAAAGGAAATAATAATATAAATCAAACACGGTCGTTTCAGTACCGCCATGCCAGCCATGCCCTGCAGTATATCTGGATGACAGACAATGCTCGACGCATTTGTTTGTATGCCAAGCGAGCGCGATGCATCCTGTATGTCTTTTGAATTGTGACGGCACTTTTGAACAGCTTGGCTGATCTCTGAGTTTCGATAAACGCCACCTGTCCAACTCGGAAAAACACTTTCGTCTTCCCAAATATGTACTTGCCTTTCTAGAAAAATCTCTGAACTGATTCGTGTTCAGATCTTATCTTAACTCGTGTTACTTGCAGCAGACTATAGCATGTCAGTTCGGTAAATTCTCGGCTATCCATTGTCCAACTTTTCTTTATATCTGGCAGTAGTATTTTGTAACGGGATTTGAAATCGTCGTATTTCCACCTAAAATTAAAATGAGTTATTTAAACCCGTCAGTCGAAATTTTTAATCAAAAATTTGTTTGTTTAAATATACTTTCAGCAGTTCCAGCTAGAGTTGCCTTACTTCGTCTAAAAACACAATATATGTAACGCTTCCTTGACATGGCTCAGGGTAAATGACCGATTCGACTTCTTCACGACATGCAAGAAAGAAGGCAAGAAGAAGTAGTAAACATTAATTTAATATAGGATATATTCAATCAAGTATTCCGCTTATGTGTTCGTGGTTATCGGTCAACGTTGTCGCAGAACTGAACGATCAATGCCTTCTCGAAGCGCCTGTACAGCTAGTGTCTTTCTCTAATAATGCAGTCATACTATGATTATCAAGGAAGGCGAAGAGGGCGTGTCTTTCCTTCCCGCGTGCTGCGCAATTAACCACGTGTGATAACATTAATTATCCAATTAAAATCGCTAATAACACTATAAGCTATAAAATGACGTACTTTAAATTAACTAGTAGCACCAATAATGTCAAAAATAATTTTCATAATTGGCCTTGCCTAATTCTCCCTCATTATTAAACCTTAGCGAAAACTTACAAAGAATACTTAACACTAAATACAATGATAATATAGGATATAAAAGCTGCCGTGAATTCAATACATTTTTAAGTAATTTGGAGAATAATAAATTTCTAGGCTAATTCACAAAATAAAATGCGGCTACGGTAAATACCGGATAAATAAATAATAATAATAATAAATAAAATAATAATAATAA